GGCCAGGCTGTCGGGAGCGCCTGTATGCAGGGAGGGCCAGGCTGTGGGGAGGGGCCTAGCTGTAGAGAGGGCCTGGCTGTGGGGAGGGGCTGTATGTAGGAAGGGCCTGACTGTGGGGAGGGGCCTGAATGTGTAGAGTGCCAGGCTGTGTAGAGTGCCAGGCTGTGTAGAGAGCCAGGCTGTGTAGAGAGCCACGCTGTGTAGAGAGCCAGGCTGTGTAAAGTGCCAGACTGTGTAGTGCCAGACTGTGTAGAGTGCCAGGTTGTGTAGAGTGTCAGAGTGAGTAGAGTGCCAGACTGTGTAGAGAGCCAGGCTGTGTAGAGAGGCAGGCTGTGTAAAGTGCCAGACTGTGTAGTGCCAGACTGTGTAGAGAGCCAGGCTGTGTAGAGTGTCAGAGTGAGTAGAGTGCCAGACTGTGTAGTGCCAGACTGTGTAGAGAGCCAGGCTGTGTAGAGTGTCAGAGTGAGTAGAGTGCCAGACTGTGTAGAGAGCCAGGCTGTGTAGAGAGGCAGGCTGTGTAAAGTGCCAGACTGTGTAGTGCCAGACTGTGTAGAGAGCCAGGCTGTGTAGAGTGTCAGAGTGAGTAGAGTGCCAGACTGTGTAGAGAGCCAGGCTGTGTAGAGAGGCAGGCTGTGTAAAGTGCCAGACTGTGTAGTGCCAGACTGTGTAGAGTGCCAGGTTGTGTAGAGTGTCAGAGTGAGTAGAGTGCCAGACTGTGTAGAGTGCCATACTGTGTAGTGTGCCAGGCTGTGTAGAGTACCAGGCTGTGTAGAGTGCCAGGTTTTGTAGAGTGCCAGGCTGTGTAGAGTGCCAGGCTGTGTAGAGTGCCAGGTTGTGTAGAGTGTCAGGGTGAGTAGAGTGCCAGACTGTGTACAGTGCCATACTGTGTAGTGTGCCAGGCTGTGTAGAGAACCAGGCTGTGTAGAGTGCCAGGCTGTGTAGAGTGCCAGGCTGTGTAGAGTGCCAGACTGTGTAGAGTGCCAGACTGTGTAGAGTGCCAGACTGTGTAATGTGCCAGGCTGTGTAGAGTGCCAGGCTGTGTAGAGTGCCAGGCTGTGTAGAGTGCCAGATTGTTTAGAGTGCCAGACTTTGTAGAGAGTTAGGTTGTGTAGAGTGTCAGGGTGTGTAGAGTGCCAGGCTGTTTAGAGTGTCAGGGTGTGTACAGTGTTAGTGTGTGTAGAGTGCCAGACTGTGTAGAGTGCTAGACTGTGTAGAGTGGCAGACTGTGTAGAATGCCAGGCTATGTAGAGTGCTAGACTGTATAGAGTGGCAGACTGTGTAGAGTGGCAGACTGTGTAGAGTGGCAGACTGTGTAGAGTGGCAGACTGTGTAGAGTGGCAGACTGTGTAGAGAGCCAGGCTGTGTAGTGTGGGAAAATCGTCTGGACAGATATGAGAGGAGAACTGCTAGGGACTTGTACTGTACTAAATTAAAAATTACTGTATGCAAAATTAATTCAACTAAAGTCCTTAGCTAGGGTCGTAAAGCCTAGCTCCTCTTTTCCTAATGACAGACAGTGGGCTGTAAGGGGCAGGTGGGGGTCCCTAAAGTTTAATGGAGAAGTTGATTGAAGATCCACTATCCACCTGCAGACAATCTAACACATCAGCTTGAATTGTAATACAAAGATAAGATTTAATAAATTCAGTTCTAAACCTGAACACTGGTTCTGTTTAAATCAGGGATCTAAACATGTACACAGTCTAGCCTATCACCATACCTATAACAGAGAATATTGATATACTAATAAACACAACAATTTGTATTACAAAGGTTTGATATGTATGAATATGCAATCAAATGACCTTAAATGTGGTACAAGTACTGTTAACTGAGTACAAGAGATTATATTAAAAATGACAAACTTATATGATAAATTAAAGATAACTAAGTGCGCAATTGTTAAATCAATGTATATTATCAATTATATATATATAGGTATGACAGTGTCAGATCACGGAGGAAAATTGAAACAGGAACTTCCTTAAGTATTTTCGTATATTAATACATCTTCAGAAGGAGTGGTTTTACAGGTCAAGTACTGGATATATATGTAGGCAGGAGAGAATAGTGGAGTGAGGTGAGGTACAATAACAAATGAATGGAATTAGGTGGCCACAAATATGAGCCGCACAAGAACTGCAGAAGGCCTATTGGCCCATACGATGCAGCTCCTATTCATACCCACCAACAGGCCCACACATGGATAATAATAGCATAAGATAGTAAATATTTACAATTAATCAGTGAGACAAATGTGTTCCAATGATCCTACTCAAATCGCCCTTTAATTGATCTATTAAAAATGGATCTAAGTTATATAAACCGCTGCTAATGTTCAAATTACTTTCTTTTGTCATCTGAATCAAAGCAGATTCAATAATGTTTCTGTAATAGGTGCTTTTACAATTCGTTATTGAGGAAGCCATCTCGCAATCAATTTGGTCAGCATCTTGTGACAAATGAACGAACAAAGCATTAGACAATTAACCATGTCTTACAGAGTATTTATGTTGCGAAATTCTACATTTCAAATCTTTAGATGTTTGCCCAACATAGAACTTATTACAGTCTTTACAAGGTATTTTATAAATGATACAATTATCACTACGAGGGCCGTTTCTAACTAATAGCTTATCAACAGTATTTTCGTAGCTAAACAATACATGTATATCAAAAAGTTTCAAGGCCTTGTCAATATTCTCAAACCCAGAGAAATATGGTAAACATAACACATTCTTTGGGCGATTTTTTTTCTCTGCATATATTATTATAATATGTACCACGTGCTTAGCTACGGCAAACTTCCAAAAAACTCAGTGGGTAACAAAGCTTGAGACCAATCGAATCAATATTCTTAAACTCTTCATCTAAGAATTCTGGACTCACAACTCGAAGAGCTCTTAGATACATTGAAGAAAAAAATGATTTTTTTCACATTGTATCTATGCCCTGAAAAATAATGAACATACGATAAATTACTCGTAGGTTTTCTGTAGACATTAAACTTTAGTGAAAAATCTTCCCTGTGAATAAGTACATCTAGGAATGGCAAACATTTGTCAATTTCAGTCTCCATAGTAAATTTTATAGAGGTGACTTGGTCATTAAGTTTGGCTACAAATTCGTCTGTGTTTACATCTGTAGGCCATATACACAAAATATCATCAACATATCTAAATCATGGAATGATTCCAGGAGTTATATTTTAAACAAATTTCTTCTCGAAGAATTCCATGTACAAGTTAGAAAGCAATGGCGATAAAGGACGTTTGTTCCTTGTTTACAAAGGTACCGGTTGACGATATTCTTGATTATCTTGCTCGTGAACTAATGAGTCATGTTTTACCTCTTTCCCCTGATATTATTGTCAATCTTGTTAAGTTGTGCATTAAAGAATGTAAATTTACCGTTAATAATGAGTATTATTTACAGACTTTTTGAATGGCAATGGGGAATCCTTTATCGCCATTGCTTTCAATGGCGATAAAGGATACCCCATTCCAGAATTCTTAGATGAAGAGAGTTGTAGGGAGCAGGAGGCCAGATACAAGGTATCATCTGGGAGAGGAAATTCTTTAGGAGTCTGAGAAGGAAAAAGACTTGGGGGTTGATATCACGCCAGACCTGTCTCCTGCAGCACATATCAAGCGGATAACATCAGCGGCATATGCCAGGCTGGCCAACATACGAACGGCATTCAGAAACTTGTGTAAAGAATCATTCAAAACTTTGTATACCACATATGTCAGGCAAATCCTGGAGTATGCAGCCCCAGCATGGAGTCCATATCTAGTCAAGGATAAGACTAAACTGGAAAAGGTTCAAAGGTTTGCCACCAGACTAGTACCCGAGCTGAGAGGTATGAGCTACGAGGAGAGACTACGGGAATTAAACCTCACTTTGCTAGAAGACAGAAGAGTTAGGGGGGACATGATCACCACATTTAAGATTCTGAAGGGAATTGATAGGGTAGATAAAGACAGGCTATTTAACGCAAGGGGAACACGCACAAGGGGACACAGGTGGAAACTGAGTGCCCAAATGAGCCACAGAGATATTAGAAAGAACTTTTTTAGTGTCAGAGTGGTTGACAAATGAAATGCATTAGGAAGTGATGCGGTGGAGGCTGACTCCATACACAGTTTCAAGTGTAGATATGATAGAGCCCAATAGGCTCAGGAATCTGTACACCTGTTGATTGACGGTTGAGAGGCGGGACGAAAGAGCCAGAGCTCAACCCCCGCAAACACAACTAGGTGAGTACACACACACACACACACACACACACACTAACACACACACACACACACTAACACACACACACACACACACACACACACACACACACACACACACACACACACACACACACACACACACACACACACACACACACATTGATACACACATTGACACACAACTTTGATAATTGATAACTGTTGATTGACGGTTGAGAGGCGGGACCAAAGAGCTAAAGCTCAACCCCCGCAAGCAACACTAGGTGAGTACACACACACACACACACACTCACACACCAAGACAAATGCATATCTCGTTTTAAAAACAAACATTACCCCTCCAGGCATGCCAGTCGCGTCTCCCCGCAACACATAACTCATACAGGCGCACGCAAACAAAAATCACCGACTTTTTCTCCTGGAAATAAAACCTTTCTACCACCGCACTTCCCAGAAAGGTCTTCCTTAATACAACTTTCCGCTGTCAGCCTCGTCGTCAGGATTAAGCAAGAACCCTTACCAATCCTCCTCAGAGATAATGTCCCATTGTCTCTTAAGATGGGTAATCTCCGGTGTCAGCTGCAGAAGACTCACACTGACTCAGCCCAATGAATCGTGAGTCAGAGAGTCGTAATGAGGAGGCAGAAGCCCGCCCCTTCTGGTGATGATGCCGGTTCTTATCCTTCATGAGCTTTGTCTTCTATTTTTGGCAAAGCAAGGAGTGCTTTTTTAGTTCTCTACTGTTGGTGCAGAGAGGTACTACTTCCGTACTGTTGGTGCAGAGAGGTACTGCTTCCGTACTGTTGGTGCAGTATGGTACTGCTGCCCTCCTGTTGGTGCAGTTGGGTGCTGCTGCACTCCTGTTGGTGCAGTAGGGTGCTGCTGCCCTCCTGTTGGTGCAGTATGGTACTGCTGCCCTCCTGTTGGTGCAGTAGGGTGCTGTTGCCCTCCTGTTGGTGCAGTTGGGTGCTGCTGCCCTCCTGTTGGTGCAGTAGGGTGCTGTTGCCCTCCTGTTGGTGCAGTTGGGTGCTGCTGCCCTCCTGTTGGTGCAGTTGGGTGCTGCTGCCCTCCTGTTGGTGCAGTAGGGTGCTGTTGCCCTCCTGTTGGTGCAGTTGGGTGCTGCTGCCCTCCTGTTGGTGCAGTAGGGTGCTGTTGCCCTCCTGTTGGTGCAGTTGGGTGCTGCTGCCCTCCTGTTGGTGCAGTTGGGTGCTGCTGCCCTCCTGTTGGTGCAGTATGGTACTGCTGCCCTCCTGTTGGTGCAGTATGGTACTGCTGCCCTCCTGTTGGTGCAGTAGGGTGCTGCTGCCCTCCTGTTGGTGCAGTTGGGTGCTGCTGCCCTCCTGTTGGTGCAGTTGGGTGCTGCTGCCCTCCTGTTGGTGCAGTTGGGTGCTGCTGCCCTCCTGTTGGTGCAGTAGGGTACTGCTGCCCTCCTGTTGGTACAGTAGGGTGCTGCTGCCCTCCTGTTGGTGCAGTTGGGTGCTGCTGCCCTCCTGTTGGTGCAGTAAGGTGCTGCTGCCCTCCTGTTGGTGCAGTAGGGTGCTGCTGCCCTCCTGTTGGTGCAGTAGGGTGCTGCTGCCCTCCTGTTGGTGCAGTGGGGGGGCCCCTGAACTAGTGAGCCTTTGGAAAGGTACAATGATACCTTCTGTTTGTTCGCGATAGGGAGCGAAATTACGGCTCCGCGATGAGTAATTTCATGAACCCCGGACCTAACTAGCATTGTGAACTACACCTGTGAACTGTGAAAAGCACTGTGAAGGAGGAACATAGTAACTAGCAGTTACTATGTTCCTCCTTCACTTCGCCAGAAAGCATTGATGGTAAATGACAGTCTAACAGATACACTAAGTGTAGATACACTAAGTGTAGATCTACACTAAGGAAACAAACATAGGAATGTGCCTAAATGCCAAAAGCGACTGCCCAGACAGGTACAAGAGGAGTGTTGTTAACGCATATGTCGACCGTGCTCTCAGCCACAGCTCAGGATGGAAGCAAGTCGACGAAGAACTCTGTAGGGTAAGGCAGGTCCTAGTCAACAACGGCTTCTCCAATGGTTTCGTCGAAGACATCATAAGAAGGAAAGTGAAACGCCATTCAACCTCTGAAGAGACAACTAACACAACACCTATACCCCCTATTAGACTATTTTACAGGAACTTCTTTTCCACAGCTCATAAAACGGAGGAAAGGGTCCTGAAAGATATTGTTAATAGAAACGTTATCCCTACAGACAAAAATCAGAGGATACAACTGACGATTTACTATAAAACCAGAAAAACGGCCAGCCTACTCATGAGAAACTCTCCAGACACAAAGCAGAACGCTTTAAAAGAGACCAACGTCGTCTATGCCTTCAATGCCCTCTTGGGACTGTAAGCTCCAAAAAAACAGTATATAGGCAAGACAACAACATCTCTTTCTAGGCGTTTAACGATACATAAGCAACAGGGCTCCATTAAGGAACATATAATCTCTTCCCACAACCAAACCATCGCCAGAGAAATCCTAGTAAACAACACAGAAATCATCGATAGATACAGCGATAGCAGGCGGCTTGACGTTTGCGAGGCTCTACACATCAAGAAGTCAACACCAGCAATCAACAGCCAATTAATGCACAACTATATTCTACCCACCTCAAGACTCCGCTCCAATATAGAAGCATCAAGAAATATGGACCAATAGGCTTTCTACAAATCACTTCCATTCAATACCCATTCTTTCGTGTTCTGTCTTGTGTTTAGGAATTTTATACCCTATTAATACCACCTCACCCCATGCACCTCACTCAAATGTAGATATAAACAAATCGAAGATGTGTAAGTTCTATTCAGTTGTGTATGTGTAAGCTAAAGTCTTTGAAAATGTAATAAGTTTTACGAAACGCGCTCAAGTGTCGCGTCAGACTAGAAATAAAAATGAATTTTGGAGAATTGATTTTTGAATTACCACCAACAGTGAAAAGAAACGTACGAAAGATCGAGAAAATTCGTGTTAGAATTATTAATCTTACTTTTTCGGTCATGTTTAATAATATATGTCTACAGGAAAGACTGCTACCAATATATATATATATATATATATATATATATATATATATATATATATATATATATATATATATATATATATATATATATATATATATATATATATAATATATATATATATATATATATATATATATATATATATATATATATATATATATATATATATATATATATATATATATATATATATATATATATATATATATATATATATATATATATATGTCGTACCTAGTAGCCAGAACGCACTTGTCAGCCTACTATGCAAGGCCCGATTTGCCTAATAAGCCAAGTTTTCCTGAATTATTGTATTTTCTCTAATTTTTTTCTTATGAAATGATAAAGCTACCTATTTCATTATGTATGAGGTAAAAAAAAGTTTATTGGAGTTAAAATTGACGTAGATATATGACCGAACCTAACTAACCCTACCTAACCTAACCTAACCTATCTCTATAGGTTAGGTTAGGTTAGGTAGCCGAAAAAGTTCGGTTAGATTAGGTTAGGTAGGTTAGGTAGTCGAAAAGCAATTAATTCATGAAAACTTGGCTTAGTAGGCAAATCGGCCGTTGCATAGTAGGCTGAGAAGTGCGTTCTGGTTACTAGGTACGACATATATATATATATATATATATATATATATATATATATATATATATATATATATATATATATATATATATATATATATATATATATATATATATATATATATATATAGTGCCTGAGTGCCTGGGTGCTGCAACAACACAACACGACATTGCTCGCCTCAAAGCAGTAGCAGCACCACATGCAGGGGATTTCCTGTTAGCAACCCCAATGTCGGCAACTGGCACGCGTCTCACACCACACGCCCCTCCGAATTGCTGTGGCCCTCCGCCTTGCTGCCCCCAATCCACACCAGATATAGGTGTATTTGCGGCGAGGTGGTGGCTGACAGGTACGGTCACCATGGCCTACTCTGCCAAAGCACAGGGGGATGGCACTCGAGGCACAGTGAAGTTAACGACATCATCAAGAGGAGCCTCACCACAGCTGGATGCCCAGCTGAAAGAGAGCCCCGTTACCTAACGCCCCGTAACTCTGATGCTCTTATTGGTCGCCCGGATGGTATCACAGTGAACCCCTGGAAGAATGGCAAGCAGTTGGTATGGACTACACGTGCGTATCAACCCTAGCTAACACCTACATTAACCTCAGTGTTGCACAACCAGGTGGCGCTGCCACCCACAGGGAAGCAGCCAAATCCCGTAAGTATAGAGAACTGGATCACCACTACAATTTTGTCCCCATTGCTTCTGAGACGCTCGGCGCCTGGGATAAAAGTGCTACCAGTTTTTGAGGGAACTGGTTTCTAGGCTCATTGAAACAACAAGGACCCGAGAGCTGCAAGCTTTCTTTTCCAGCGCCTCAGTGTGGCGATACAGAGGGGAAATGCGCACTGCATCCAGGGTTCCTGCCCGCCATCTGAGGACTGGAGGAACTCGACAACCTATGACAACCATCTTTGTAACCCATATGTAACTCCTTTTTTGTAACAAAGTTCAATAAAGTAAATATATATGTGTACATACAAAAGATGGGGGTGGTAGGAGAAGATAATATTAGTGTTCAGTGAGAAACCACAAGGTCTCCTCTGAATACTTTTTATTTTCTTCTCCGAGGCTATGGGTCCCCACATTGGCACCAGAGGTGGTACCCTCACAAACTTTTATATATATATATATATATATGTCGATATATTATGTCGATAATATATTCTGTAAAATTCATACAACTTCTATAAGGTAACTATTAAGAATTACAATGATAAACAGAACTGTTGGTACCAATATAATTTTACCTAATGTTATAGTTTCAGTGTCCACTCAGCACTACAACTAGTTGGTGAGGCTTACATTTGTTGTGGGAAAGAAAAGCTCTCAGCCTGCTAAAAGGAGTCAGGAGGCGTATGCTCCTGTACGCACCTGTTACAAAAATACAAAGGTTCTTTAAAGCAGCACCTTGCAACGTTACATATTATAGCACCCACCAATCACTTCAGAAACCCTTTTATCCAACATCACACAAACCATTATGCAACATCCTAAAATACCACACATTAACACAAGCCACTTCCCAATACAACAGATCT